TTTCTCATCTTTCCAAAGCCATTCAAAGCTCCCCTGCTGGCAGAAGTTCAGGTCCTAGATTGGGATTTCCCCTGAGGGTCAGGGGAAACTCTGTACTGATCCCAGCTGTACCAATCCTAGCTGTTCCATGGGGTGCCCCTAATCCCAGTCGAGTCTGCAACTTCTTCACCTGGAAAAGAAGTGATGCACAGGGCAATAGTTCTCTTTTTAAAATGCCTCAGTAGCTGTAGAGGCCTCAGCTCTGTGTCCCAGGTGGTGGCACAGAGACTGTGGTGCCACTGATGGCTCAGAGAAGAGTGAAAGGCAGCCCAGGATGGTTTTGTGAGGAAAGGTTCCAGTAGCCTTTTGCACCCATTATCGACAAATCCAAGGCTTTGGTAAATCCTCCCAAGAGTCACAGGTGGAAGGCTTCAGTGGTGACAAACAGACAAGAGTATAGTTTACCTAACCCAGCACCCTGAATTCATTTTGGTTGATTTTCTGCTTCTGCAGAAAATGCAATTAAATATAGAATTGAAAGCTAATAGAAAACCTGTTCTTGGAGGTGTTTCTTCAGAGACTTCAGGAGTTTCAGGCTGGAACATTCCCTAAGGCCAGATCTATGCTGTTCCCTGCAAATATAATTTTTTTTTATGACCTCAATAATTCTAAATTATTTCAGTAGCCATATCTATTAATGTTAAGTCTATTTTCCAAAACTGTACCATAATCTTGGCCTCAGGTGCATCTTGCAGCAGAGGGTTCTGTAGGTTGCATGGAAGATTGCTGGAATAAGAGGTTTGCTTTTCATGTAAAATATTGGAATTCAGACAGCCAAGTTTAAAATGTATTTTTTTTTTGGACATTAAAAAGGAAGCTGAACGAGGCCATATCATTTTCTTGACTATTGAGGTTGGAGCAGATGACCCCACTGGTGTTCCCTTCCTTTGATTCCAATCCCAATGAATCAACAGCACACAAAGAAATAAAACAGCCAAATGCTATATAAAACCTATAAAAAAGCTTGAAAAATGTCACTAAGTAAATTCAAATAATGCATAACTTAGAGGGAATTGCAACTGGTTCGTGGATATTCTATGAGCAGAAGATAAACATCTAAGTTAGTTGCATAAATTATTCATCGTAACATATTTGCTCAGCTTTTCTTGTCAGCTGAGAAAGCCACACATCCAAGCACAGGGAGAGTGGAGCAGAACTGGGCTTTCACCTCCTGATGTGCCCTGGGAGCAGGAAGCCCTGGGGAGGGATGGCATCAGTAACAGCTGGGTGGAAAAGTGTCCTTCACTGTCGTGCTTTTGTCGTGGATTCTGCTCAGGGCTCATCTCCTGCATGGGTGGGGACTGGGATTGTCCCTTGGCATCAGGAAAGGCTGAAGATATGACAGTGATTTCTTTTAAACTCCTGCTTTGGCCTCCTGCCAGTGGTTCAAAGGGTGATGTTGGACCTGATGTAAAAAATGAACCCACTTTCCCTTTGGACTCATTGTTTATCAAAATGTCATTCTCCTTTCCTGCCTTCATTGCCCATCACTTCCCAGTTTGCCCTGTCCATCTCCACACCCTGGGTGGAGGCACTCCCAGGCTCTGGGTGCTGATAAATCATGGAATCCTGGAGTGGTTTGAGTCAGAAGGGACCTTAAAGCCCATCCCATTCCACCCCCTGCCATGGGCAGGGACACCTTCCACTGTCCCAGGCTGCTCCAAGCCCTGTCCATGGACACTTCCAGGGATCCAGGGGCAGCCACAGCTTCCCTGAAGGAGAGTAGGGATCAATACCTGACCAGCTGCACATTTCAGCTCTTTGCTGCTAAACTGTCTGTTGCAAAGCAGCAAAAGCAAACTTTCTGTATTTTATTGGGAACATGAAACATTCCCTGAGCCCTTTCTGAAAACATGCTGGCTCTGGAGTGCTCTGGTGCCTCCTGACTTTATGGATACTGCAGGAAGCAGGAATCTGAATGTGTGCTTGAGTTTTACAGGAAGCAATAATCCTCTCTTTGGAGGGGAAGCATAGATGACATTCTTCCTATGCTTGCTAGTTATGTTCTTTCTGGTGGAACATGGGTGTGCCTATTTATTATAAAACCTTGCCTGTCTTTGAGCACCCAGCTCTGCCTCTTCCCATGCACTGAAACTGCTGAAGGGACCATTCCTTCCTCAAAGAGGATTTCCTTGTGGAACAAGGTCTGGGATTGGAACTCTAATCTGGGATGATTGGAGAAACTGCTCTGTAGTGTCAGAGAAAAACTATTTGTCTTTACTTCTTGAGTTTTATATATCATTAAAATCAACTTTTACACAATTCTGGGACAGCAGAGAACACCCTCTGCTCCATAAAGGGAATACATTGGTCATGTATTTGTTATCTGCAGACAACTTGGGAGCCAGTGATCTGTTTCAATCACTCTTTGTGTTAAGAACCCGTTGTATGGGGTTTTTTTTTGCCTTTTGACTGAGGTTTTTCTAGGAAGGATGGATGTTTCTTCAGATTGCAAGGTTTGACACTAATGACTCTTGTAATGTAGTAGGAGGTGTGTTTTGTTTTGGCATTTTCACTTGGCTTGTGAAAGCAAGGAACTACAGAGGGGGCATTAGCTCAGGTGTAAGGAGATATTTTGAATTAAATAGCTGGCACTTTGCTACTTTGATGAATGTAACTGCTGTCAGGCAGCATGGAGTGTTGTGAAGGGGCACAATCAAAATAAATACCTGCATAATTACATTAAGTCAAATAACCTAACACACACAGAGTGGACTGAGTACAGAATCAACCTGGGCAGAAATAATCTGGTTTGTGATCTTGGCTTGCTGCTGAGTCTCTGAATGTGCCTGTGTGTCAGGGTCTGTGCCAGCCAGGTGGGTTGTTGTGCTGGGAGGACACTCCCTGATGGGAAGTGCTGCCTCAGGGCCAGGGGTTGCCATTCCTGCTTTGGACTGGGTGTTATAGATTATTCACACCAGCCACAGAGACAGATTTTACCCCAGGATCCTGCTGGGGGTGCCAAGTCTACCTGGAGGTTTCCAGTCAGTCTTTGCTGGGTTACAGGGTCAGCTGGGTCCCTGCACAGAGGGCCCCTGTCCCAGTTCTTGCCTCAGAATTATACCTGTGCCATCTAAGCACCCAGTCCTCAAATCCAACCCCAAATCCTTAATTCTGATCAGTGGTCCCTTAACTTCTCATTGTTTTTACTGGGGCTGGCCTTCTTCTGAGGTGACTTCATTCTCTTTGAAGAGTTTCCTTGGTCCTTATCTTCATTCCACTTGTTTCTGCTGAATTCAGCTTGTTCATTGTTAGCAGCACTAATTTTCTCAAAGAAGTTTACTCTTGGTCAGCTCTTGCACATGAACACTTCCTCTGCTGAGCCCCACTAATGCTACACAAGATTATTCCCAGAGAACACTGTTATTAAATTTCTTCTGTAACACTGGGATAAAGTTATTTTTTTTTTTCCAGAGAGGCTGGTATGGGGCTGTGCTTTGGATTTTGCTGGAAACAGTGCTGATAACACAGGTGTGTTGCTGAGCACAGTTCACACAGGTCAGGGCTCTTCTGCCTCTCATCCCACCCCACCAGTGACGAGGTTGGGATGCACAAGGAGCTCTGGGGGGACAAAGCCTGGAGAGCTGACCCCAGCTGACCCCAGGGATATCCCACACCCCAGGACATCATGCTCAGCTTGTAGGGCTGAGGAAGGAGGAGGAAAGGGGGATGTGAGGTGTGAGGAAGTTTGTCATCCCCAGTCACTCCAGGATGGAGTCCTGAAGATGGCTGAACTCCAGACTGTGATGGGAAGTGGGGAATGAACTCCTTGTTTTGCTTTGCTTGCCTGTGCAGCTTTTGCTTTATCTGCTGAACTGTTTATCTCAACTCATGAGTTCTCTCACTTTGACCCTTCTGACTCTTCCTCTCTAGGGGGAGTGAGTGGTTGCGTGGGGCTGAGCTGCCAGCTGGGATTAAAACACAACACCTATAATCTAATAAAATATTTGTCTTAAACCCAAGTTACAGGAATAGGTGGATGAAAAGTGACAGAGAAGCCTGTGAGCTGATGGTCTGGGAGATAGCTTAAGATAGAGCAGGTGCATTGTAGGAGAATGGGTATAAATAACATCCTCTCCTTTAAGGAAGGCTTTGCTCAATATTTTTTGAGAGACATTAATAGGTTTCTCATTTTTCAGGTGCTCAGCTGGTGATGTTTCAGAGGCCTGATTTTTAGATTGCAGGTGTGCAAGCTTTTCTCTAGGCATTTCCCTCTGTGTCATTTCAAAATGGATACCTGCAATAAAGAACTGCTTTTGCAAACATTAACTTTATTTTTTCCCCAGTTCCTCTCAGTTTAAAATCATGGATTTGAGAATCACTTTGTTGTTGTTTTTTTTTTTTCCTAAAACATGAACAAAACCTCCGCTTTCATCCTGGACTCTGCTTATACCTGAATCCATGCTTTTACATGGTTTATCTCAAAAATTGTTTTCCAAAATGCTCTTTTGCCGTACTCATGGTGCTGAAAGATGAAGATGTTTGGAGAAAATGTATTTTATTTAGCTTTCTTTTGCAAAAGTGTGCTAGGAAGGCTTGTGGGCATTAAAGATACAACAATGATCACTTTGGGCTAGATCCGTGGTCTAGACCATTTGCTGACAGAGACCAGAATTTGCTGCTTTATGGAGAAGTGAAAGACCCCAAAGTGTGGGAGGATGAAAGGACCCTGCTTTTGTTTTATGGAAGTCTATCTCTCTGACAAACACCTCTGATGACTCCAAGTGCATCTCCTCCCCAGCCTGATCCTTGTAGTGTATGGTTATTGTGCAGTAATGTCTCGCTTTTCCTCTTCTCCTCCCCTTCCCTCTGTCCAGCCTCGTGGCCTCATGTGTGTATCCACGTGGGGGTGTCCAACAGGCTTGGCCCCTTCTCCATCCTCCTTTTCCACCCCTGGTGACTCTCCCTGCCCCTCCAGACAGGGAGCCTCACGCCTGTTGTGTTCCTGTGTTGTGGCACAGGGAGTTTGCCCGTTGGAAGGTGAGGAACACAGCCATCGAGAGGAGGGACCTGCTCCACAACCCACTGCCCCTGATGCCCGAGTTCCAGAGGAGCATCCGCCTGCTGGGCAGGAGACCCACCACGCAGCAGTTCATTGACACCATCATCAAAAAGTACGGCACCCACCTCCTCATCTCTGCCACCCTGGGAGGTAGGTGGCACCGGGGCTGGCTCTGCTCAGGGGGCTCTGGGGGGTGGTGAAGGCACTGGGCAGTGCTGGAAGTGTGTCCAGTTTTGCATGGAGCTCCTGGGGTGAGCCCAGCAGGGGTTACAGCAGTGGTGAGGGGAGCAGGGCATCTGTTGTGAGGGACAGCTGGGGGAGCTGGGGCTATTCAGTCGCCAGAAGAGATGACTGTCACTCTAGGACATGGAATAGAAAGACGTGGACACTGGATTCTCCAAGGGGAAAAGGAGAGAAGTTTAATTCTGACTCCAACATTTATAGATTTCCAAAAGTGACAGTGGATTGGAGGGTGAAAGTGCCACCTCTCCAATGACACTGGACAGACCAATAGTCTATCAAATTTCTCCTCCTCCATAAAAGAATGCAAAAAATTAATTATTTACATAAAGTCTGTGAGAAAGTTCGTTACAAGAATGTAAATATCAGAAGGCTTAGAAGAACTCAAAAGAACAGGGCGACAAGATGACTGAGAGGAGACCTCATTAATGTGTATAATTATCTAAAGGGGGGCCTAGAGCATGGATCAGGCTCATCCTGGTGGTGCCAGCCACAAAGACAAGAGGAACAGGCAGAAACTGATGCCCTGGAAGTTCCAGCTGAATGTGAGGAAGAATTTCTTGGGACCATTGGAACAAATTGCCCAGAGAGGGTGTGGAGTCTCCTCACAGAAGATATTCCAGAAGCAGCTGGATGCAGTCCTGTGCCATGTGCTCTGGGATGACCCTGTAGAGCAGGGAGGCTGGACCAAATACCCCACTGTGGTCCTTGCCAGTCTGAACCACCCTGTGACTCTGAAAGCAGTGGGGGCACAGGCCAGGCTGCAGCCCCCCTCCCAAAACCCACCTGTGTCCCCAAAGCCCACCTGTGTCCCCAAGGAGCCTTTGCAAGTGAATTCAGAGTGTGAGGTGGGAGTTGTGCCCCTGTGCTGCTCTGACCACCGTGGCTGTCAGGAGAAACACGTCCCTCAGCTGGGGGACTGTCCTGCCAGCCCTGCACCACTGCCCTCAGCTTCACAACAGAACATGCTCATCCCTCTTTTTCACAGGATGAAAACGAATGTAGGGGGGAAAAGCATCCTTTCTTGCTGGAACTGGAGGAATCTTAAAGAGCTCCAGGAAAAGGGAGTTCAAGGAGCTGGGCAGGGAGCGTGAACACAGGGGAAGAGATGGCCAGAAGGCTGAATGCATTAACATGGAGCAGACTTCTGGAAAAACAGCACTTCAGTAAAATTCAAAATGTGTATGCAAGGGCTGCAGAGAGGTCTGTGTGTGTGCACAGAATGTGTCAGGGATGACATCAGAGAGAGCCCTGTAGGGCCATGAACTCCTGGGCAGGCGCTGCTGGTGGTGCTGCAGGAACATTTTGAGTAGCTACTGTTGAACACTGGAGGGGTGAAAATCAGCAGCTCCTATTGATGTTTACTCCTGGTTCCTTTTTCCACTCTGTATTATTTTCATGGTTCTTTTCCCCCTTTGGGGTGTGCCTTTCTTTCATTTAAATGCTTTTCTTCCAAGAACAGCTATCTGTGAGAAGAATTCTGCAGTGGTAAAGGCTCAATTTTACTTCAAAATTTGTTGTTGTTGCTTCTTCTAAAGTACCTCACCTCCAGCCTTGCCACATTGCCGTGTTTGTAGTGAACTTTGAGGAATTTCTGGCCATCTGTCTGTTCACAGAACATTCTGCAGACACTGGGATGAGATTAGATGTGTGCATATGATTCATGCACAAATTAGGTGGTAGGTAAATTGGCACACTTCCCCTGGAGTCCAATGGCCTCTGGTGTGGTGATGTCCTTCAAAGATCCTTGGGCTGCTCTTTCAGTCCAGGCACCCAAAGAAGTCCATTCCACCAGCAAGAAATGTGAGAGAAAGGAGGTTTTCAAGCATTGAAGAACACAAGTGACTGCTTTCTTCAGGCCTTAATGAAGTCTGGGTAAAGATAAACTGCTTTTTATTGAGGAATTCACTTTTCAGGACTGTGTTTTACAGAGCCCAAGACAGCCAAGTAGAGATTTTTTTTTTTCCTGGTTTGGTTTTTTTCCATTGACATTCCTCTTTTTCTTGCCACTCGCATCCATGAAAATTCAAAATAAGAAAGACCTTTGATGGTAAAATATATTTTTAATTTTGCCTGGTTGCTGAGGTTGTAAATTATTCACAGGGGCTTGTTTCTTCTCCTGATTTTACAACACAACAACTTTAAATATGCAGAGACTTGTAATGAGAACTGGTGTTGGAGGGGAGCACTAAACACCCCACCAGCCCTGAGCATGGTGAGCAATGGTAGGGAGAAAAAGAGGATTTATCTTGGCAATGGCAGTCCCAGGGAAAATGCAGATGGAGCTGGGCATGCATTATCCATGGAGGACACAATCTAATCGCAGTCTGGGGGCTAGACAAGAGCTGTGGGGCATAAAAGCAGACATGTCCTGGCTCTCCCAGGAGCTGGTGTCTCCCCAGCAGAGCTCCAAGCAGTTCTGCCCTGGGTTCCGGCTGTTTGTAGCCCAGCCTGGTGTCTGAGGAGGTGGCAGATAGTGACAAGCACGCAGGAAATTGCTGGCTTTGAAACGCCAGCTGCTGCACGGCCCCCAGGAGGGTGGGACATGGAGCAGCACCTGAACACAGCAGTTTGCACACCTGGCCACAGGAGGAACAGCTCTGGTGGCTTTCATCCTACTGAGCAGCCAGGGCCCCCAGAGCCCAATGAAAACCCAGCTCTGCTCCAGTCTGCTTCTGACAAAGGCACTGGGGAAGGGTCACTTTGAGGGCATCCATGCTCTGGGATGAAGCACACAGAGCTGAGAGCCAATTTGCAGGAAAATCCCTCAAGGAAAAACAACTTTGAACATATCATTCACTTAATTAAAGGAGAAATTAAGACTTAATAATGCAGGAAAATTCTGTTAACCTCTCTTGATCCAAGAGTTGCTTTCCCATGTGACCCCTCCATGGGGATGCTGTGCTTTTCCAGCTCTGCACAGAGCTACACAAAATAGGTTTCCAGCAGCAGTGTCCCTGCTCAGCACCCCTCGGTCCTAGGGACAGCACTGCTCCTTCAGGAAAAAGCATTATTGCTCATGGACTTCTCTGTTTTCTTCCTTTCGAGGGAAAAAATTGACAACTTTTGTGGGGAAATCACTGATCCCCACTGCCCCAGAGCACAGGTTTCTCTTCTCTGCTGTGTTTCTTAGTGCCTGGTTTGTGTTGTGTAGGGACCAAATCCAAGAGGAGATCTGCTGGTGATCTGATGTGATTCCACCCAGGCTCCCAGCCTGCCCTCTGGCCCAGGATTCCAGCTTCAGCATTCCAGACTCAGCATTCCTCTAGTGAAAATGAACCAGGCTGGAATGAAAAATTACTGATTTTTGTGCCTTGGCTGTTAATATGAGGCATGATTTTTTTCCAGGAAAAGTAGGGTTTTTCCCATTTATTGGTGCAATTGATGAAGAGTTGATGGCTGTGAATCACAGCTAAGGGGAGCATTATCCCAAATCTTCCTTCTCCTGCCACAGGCTCACAAAATAGTGGTGAAACATAATTTCTCATTTCTCTCTGCTGCATCTCCTTGCAGTTAAATGCTTCTGTTACATGAGAGATCCAGAACTTCTAGCTCAAAATACACCTTCCCACTGATCAAGCCTTTTCAGTGGCAAATGAGTTAATTCATGAAAACTGACAAAATTCCTTCAAATCCCCCTGAAAAACACAAAGAGATGAAACTTGGAAATGCATTGAGTGGTCAGTGCAGTGACCACTGCTCCTCACACTGATCACTGACATTTTATTTATCACCTGTGCCTTGTTGGCTGTTTGTTGTATTCAACTGTTGTGTCTCATCAGATACAGGGGGTTAAATCCTCTGGAAGATGGATTGACTTTGTTTGTGTGGACAGAGCCTGATGTGGCAGAGCCTTGGTCCCTGCCAAGGTCTCCTTACAAGCTCCACACATAAAAATGGTAATGGTGATAAAGGAAATCAAAGCTGGTCACTTTCCAGGGAAAGTGTTTTTGTGAGAGGTAACAATAATGACATTGTTACTACCACAGCTTTGATAGTGGTGGAAGGCTAGTCTGCTATTTTCAACAAAATATTAAAGAGAAAGTTTTACATGCCTAACTTCTCCACTTAGGTCCTGCAAACTTAATTAAAAGATTTCAACTGATCAATTATTTTGATGAAAAGTACCTTCTTTCCACAAAAAAAAAAAAAAAAAAGAAGTGAATTTTTCATCTCAAAGCCAAAGGCTGAATACTCAATACAACTATTGCTTGAAAAACTGAAATCTAATAAAAATATTTTGATTTCCAGCCAGAATATTTTTGGTTTGTTTTCAGGCATTTGGCTTTCAGATAAAAGCTGGAAAATTTCCAGGGAAAGTGAGGGGGAGCTCTTACTGGGATTTTGGCTTATTTTTTTCATATATGAAATAAAAGAAATAATTTGGATGAATCAAATTGTTTTAGCTAATAAGAATTTTAAAGAAAAGTAAGCCCTTGCTCTCTTAAAAAAAATTATGCAAAGATGATGAAGACCGAGATTTTTTTTTGGCCTTGAAAGCAGTGGTACATATTTTTTGGACCATGCCATCACTGCCAGAGGCAGTGCATTCATCAGTGGTTCATCTATCAAATCAGAACAAGCACCATTCTTCTCATTAAGAGAGTTATGTAGAAATGGCACATTCCTCTTCTAGTTGTGTCTTCTCTTCATTTATTAAAATCCAAGTTTCACATGTTAGGGATGCAGGATGGAATTCCACTTTTTAAGACCTCTCACAATGCCAGCCTTATGTTAAGAATGAACTGGATTTTAATGTGTCTCACCCAGCAGAAATTGAATTATTAGGTAAATAGTCCTTCTGAGCTGCACGTCCTTTTCAGATGTGCTTTGTTACATTCAGGTCTCTGCTGATGTTTATCAGTCCTTAACTGCTTCTCTCCCAGATTCTCTGTGGTTTCATTTCAAAATCACCTGCTTTCGTCCCTTACCTTGCATGGTATTTTCACTTGCTATTTATGTTCCCTGGATGAGACTCTGGGAGAGGAAAGAAGGCAGCAAGGGTGGTTAGTTCAAATTAACTTTCTTATTTGCTCTTTCCTCTGATTAATTTTCTTTACTCAACCCCTTTCCCTTCCCCTTTTGCAAGGCCACTGGGCACTGAAATGGTCCAAGTAACATTTGTTTGTCCACTGTGCCTACCTGCACACAGTGTTCTACTTGCAATCATCATCCCTTCCTTCTGGAAGTCAGGTCAGACAGAGACTTGCACAAAGTGAGATCTCCTGTCAGGTGTGCATCATTCTGGAGGCACTGCCCACAGAGAGAACGTGCCTCAGGTGGGACAGGTGGGCTGAATCCTTGGTGGCAAAGCTCTGCTGGCTAAAAAATATCCAAAATGTTGTCTACTCAATTCAGTGGAGCTGCTTTACTTGTCTGCTGGACTTGGCCTGGCTGTCTGAATAGAGGAGGAGCTTCTCTGTGTCCCCCTGGGGTCCTGGTGCTGGTGAGGAAGGGTGGATTCCTCCAAGAGTGCTCCAGGTGTCGGACTTCTCTTTCTTTAGGTGCAGCAGATGACACCATTTGCTCCTGTTAAGGTGGCCCTGCCTGGCAGCCTGAAATCTCCTTTTCTCTCTGCTGCAGGAGAGGAGGCCTTGACCATGTACATGGACAAAAGCCGCCTCGACAGAAAGTCAGGAAACGCCACCCAGAGCGTTGAAGCTTTGCACCAGCTCGCGTCCTCCTACTTTGTAGATCGTGATGGCACCATGAGGAGACTCCATGAGATCCAGATCTCTACCGGAGCAATCAAGGTACTACATACTGCCTTAGGAAGAGGAAAAATATTGCCTTGTATGGATTCTCTAGGGATGTGGGGCAGGACTTTGCCAGTCTGATGTCTTCTTTGGGCACAAGTTGTTTTGTTCCCAGGTTTTCTCTTATTCAATTGAAGAATTGATTTCCCCAGGGTCACTAATGTCTGAAAAGAGGTGGGCATTCAGTGAGATGGTTGTGTAGGACAGGAGACTTTCACTAAGTGTGACAGTGACTACTGGAAGGGAGAGAGGGAGCAGAGGACCCAAATCAGTGATGGAGGTTGGAAGGGAAAGGCAGGTCTGTGAAATGAACAACCCTGTGCCACCTAGGAGTATTTGTCTCCTGGGGTGTAAGGCTGCCAAACATCTCTCAGCTGAATTTGCTACAAGAAATGGTGAAAAACTCACTGTGGCATTACTGAGGCATCTGGAATGAAACGGACTGAGAGACAGCTTGGGGGTTGCAGCAGGAAGGAAGGGAAGCTGCTCAGAGAATACAAAACAGGGAAAATGGCTCTGCAAAGGCTGCCTTCTCTGAAAGCAATCATCCTACACTGGGCAGGGATTTTATTGTTGCTGAGTTCACTCCAGGGAAGGTGATGTGGATGGAGTCGTCATTGTTAGCCATTTCTGAAAGGTTTCAGCTCTCGTTATTGTTCTGTGCTGTCTCATGGCTGAGGCTGTTCCCTTCTGGATGGGAAATTGTATTGAGATATTGAAACAGTGACAGCAGATAATCACCCGTGGTGAATTCCAGAAGGGCAGGCAACCAACAGCAGCAGCACTGCAGGTCATCTGTGCCTCCATCCATCCTCAGCACAGGGCTGCTGTTCACATCTGTTGTGGGAGCACCAGGCACCACTGTGGGCTGGCAATCCATCTCTGTTTCTTGCTTTCCAATAAGAGAAGCCAGGGAATAATTCCTCTACAGGCTTCTGATGTTCTCCAATGGAGATCCTGTGTGAGAAAAATCAATCTGCAGGATCCCATTGCCAAGCCCAGAATAACCTGAAATACCCTAAAGAAAGAAGCCATAATTCATTCTGATTTTTCAGCTTGAGACTGCACCAAACATTAGCAGGGTCTGTGCAGGGTGGGGCATTTTTTCCCAGCTAGGGAAGATGTGTTTTGGGTTATATCAGCTGTTGACAAGGAGTCCTTGAATTAAAATATTTTAAAAGCCTGGGGAAGGTATGGTGCTGCAATCGAAGGGAACATTCTCTCTTTTCTACACCCTCTGTAGGTAACAGAAACTCGGACTGGCCCCCTGGGCTGTAACAGCTATGACAATCTGGACTCTGTGAGTTCTGTCCTTCTGCAAAGCACTGAGAGCAAACTCCACCTGCAAGGTAGGGCCCAGGAACCAGGGAGGGGGGTGGAAATGGGAGAGGAGTGCCCTTTTTCTAAGCCTTTCCCTCTCTTTGCTGTGATTCTGCTGTGTCTGGAAGTTCCCTGCAGCTTCTGGTGGCTTCACACGAGGCTCAGCTGAGCAGAGCTGGGGCTGACCCCAATGAAGTGTCTGTCTCTGCCACTGAATATTGATGGACTCCTGTATATGATACACACACCAACATAAAAAAAAAAGTGACCTCTTCCATCAGTATTGAAGGAGAATTCTGCCCACGTTTCTCTGTCCCTCCCAAACTGCTGATTTGTGTAAGAGGTTTGCAGATCAGCTTTCAGGACTCTCTAATGACCATAATCTTTGGAAAAAGTCAAAGAGGTTTTATTTGGATGCTAGAAGCCATGGCTTCAGTCCCAGATGGGGAGCTAGTCCAAAAGTCAACAGACAGAGGTCATGGCTGAATTAATAAATAAATACATGCTGGTTAGCAAGAAGTCAACTTCAGTAGAAGGAGGAAATTCACTGGGCATGTAATTCATGAAGGTTATTCCCAAGTTTTTGACAAAATAAGGAAATGTGGGATTTAATTGCTCATTTGCCCAGATGGTTTTATTTCTCAAATCCTTGTACTTGCACAAATTTTAATTTTTCAGATGAATGGGCTACATTACATCTTCCGCTTTGAGTATAATTTGGCAAGTGCTGTTTTAATCTTTGGTTTCACAGAAACTGAGTTTCATTTACCAAGTAATGTTGTGGATATAATATTATTGTTGTTATTATTTGCCTTTAAAAATAATATGCAGGTTGTTTTCACTATGGCAGTGATTATCCAAATCACTGAGTTCTAGTTCTTACCTAATTAACAATAAGCAGTTTGAGAGGGTTTTACACTGTGATGATAGCTGCTGGTAATGAAAACCCAAGGATGACACATGAGATAAGTGGGGAAGCAGCTAAATCAGCAGGCAGCTCGGGTTATAGGCAGACAAGTGGGTAAATCAATAGACCTGTATTGCTTATCTGATCGTACAAGAGAGGAGATAAACCAAGGGAGGGGGAAGGAGGTGGAGGAAGAGGGAAAAATTAGGAGAGAGAGGGGATGAGGCTATGATCTCTGATGGGAGCAGACAGAGAACCTTGGGGGTCAACCACACGTGGGTTTCATGGAGCTCCATGGCTGAACCCAGTGCAGGCAGAGGCTGGGGCCAAGCCAAAGGAGACAGCCAGGGAAGGGAGGAGGGCCGGAGCTCTTCCTAATAGAACAAAGTGACCTTTAAAGCTCCACCTGAGTTTTCTACCTAATCTGGAGTGTGGTTCTTGGGATAATTACCCAGGATCCTTCCTCTGCTCTGAGAGGCCTCATTACAAATTAGTCATAGGGCTGCAGCAGGTAATGGATCGTGACCGAGTCTCCTCTGATCTGATTAGCAGCCGAGCATGAGCTGCTGACAGAAATCCATGTTCCTGCCTTTGTGTCACTCCAGCTCTGAGCCTGGCTCAATAAAAGAGCAGCTTCTTCGTGACAGGGAGAATTTCTCTGTCTGAACTTGCTGCTGCCCAGCCCTGGGACTTGGGGTTTCAAAGCTGTGCCTTTCAGGAGAGACAATGGGTGAAATGTGATTGCCCTGGTCTGGTTGGCAAGGTGGTGATCAGCCAAAGGCTGGACTCGAGATCTTGGTGGTCTGTTGAGGTGAACACCCCATGTGTGGAGACATGAGGCTTGACTCCATGTTTCTCAGAAGGCTGATTTATTATCTTATATATTATACTAAAATACTACCTTAAAACTATACTAAAAGAACAGAGAGAAAAGATTATCAGAAAGCTACAAAGAACAGGACTAGAATAGAATGCATAACAAAAATCTTGTGACTGCTCACAGCCTTGGCACAGGTGGCTGTGATTGGCCATCAATTGAAAACAATCCACATGGACCAGTGGAAGATGCACCTGTTGCATTCCACACAGCAGATTACAGTATTGTTTACATTTCTTTCTTGAGGCCCTCAGCTCTCAGGAGGGAAAAAATCCCAGGAAAGAATTTTTAATAAAATATCATAGCTACATTGGTCTTTTCCAACCTAAATGATTCCATGAATCCACGTAGGCTTTGGGCAGGTTGATTTCGGGGAGGAAGGTGCAGGCTGAATGGTGCTGCACTTGTGGTTACTGGGACAAAAAAGAATCACTAATTTCTAAACCAGCATCCTTGTGGGCCCAGCGTGCATGACATGCTCTGGAGTATGTATATGCATATATATACACAATATTTATCACAGAAGGTCTCCCTTTTTCCCAGCACTCCCTGGAGCAGGATCCCTGTGGTGATGCAGGGCAGGGTGCCAGCAGCTCTACAGCAGCCTCTTGGGAAATTTGTGTTCCCCGGACAAGTGTCCCAGGAAGAAATTGGAAAATTTGACTGAAAAAAAGCAACACTTTGAAAAATTTCAGGAAATCCAAATTTCAGAGGCATGTCCTGTTGTATCAATGCTGTTATTGAGAGTATATGGCAATATTGGAGCATAGCACTATTTCAGTGAGGTGCAGTCCTTCTGTGCTGTTCAATAAACAGGAAATGTTGCATAGCAGGTATTTGCTACATCAAATATGGTCATATATTATAATACTATACATAATGCATGTTGTATGCAATACTTATATATTATTAAATATATTATATTTCAATATTTAGTATTATAATCTTATATATGTGTAAATACCCTTATATATTATACATCTATAGCTACATAGAGAGATGTATTATATAGCTGCATAGCATATATGATAGTATAACATTAGAATTTACATTACAATTACTATTAAAGCTTTTTCCAAGATGGAAAGAACAGTAATGGCAACACAAAACATTTCAGCTTTTCACTGCAGTGAAATGAGGGAGTATGAAAAAATACATTTAGAAAGTCAAAAGTGCTTTTGGAGTCAACATGCTCTCACAAAATGCTTCAATGGAACTGCATTTTCAACACAGAACTCTTCTGTGGAAAATGTCTCAAATAGCTCTAATTTAGAGCTGGGGAAATTTACCTCTTTTAATGCAGGAAGCCTTTTATATACAGTCTAAAGCCAAACATCTATCTCTAATAGATTTTTCTGGGTGAATTAAGGACATGTTCCCTTGTCAGATACTTCATATTCTGCCTGTAGTTATCTAAGATAAACCTATATCAAATCTGTGCTGCTCTTCATGCTTTACCAAGTGGCAGAATTCCTCCTCTGATCAATAAATTACCTTCAAAACTAAGATTTTCAAGTTGGCAACAAACTTTCCTTGTGCATCTGTTATCAGCTCCTGAGGCTGCTGTTGGGGATGAGCCCATTCCTTGTGCCCCCTGGCTTGGATTGAGGGATTCTTCCCATGGAAATGGTCCAATATCCCAGTTTTTAAGACCAGCTTGCCCCTCCTCTTGGCTGCTGACATGAGGTTGTTTCATCAGTAGACAGCCGTGAAAGATTGAAAAAAAAAAATATATATATATATATATGTGTGTGTGTATATGTGGCTTTTTTTTTTTTTGAATGTTTGCAATATCCAAATACATTTCTTAAAGAACAACACAGCATTTGGGATATTTTATTAGGGTTGTGGCTGGCAGCAGGGCTTTCCCTGCTAGCACAAGCTGCTCAGTGGGGCTGTTATATTCCTTGGGATTACAGCTTTCCTGCTTTACAGGCAGCAACAGAAGCACCCAGAGCAGTGGTCTCAAAAGATTGATGCTTTACTGACAACCATAACCCACTGAATTCCAGCAATATTTAGTCCCTGGGCATGGGATAGAGCTACACATGAAAGAGAGGATGCCAGGACTGGGTGAGGTGTTGCTGCTGGCACAGAGCTTGTAAAATCTCTTGCTGAGATCGGATCACAGAGATGCTCAAAACTAAAGCAAAAAAATTGATATGAATCTGCCCTTGTCTGGGGATGATGAGGAATCTGTGAATATTTATGTGTATATATAAAAAATATGTTTCTGTGGAAATAGGCACAGCTGTATTTCAGTAACACTGGTTTCTTCCACAAGGAAATTCCTGGCTGGAAGACGTGAGTCACTTGTAATCCCAGCAGCCTGTTTAAAGTCAGGGGGTTGTGTTTGGAGTTGCACACTGGTGCTCCAGTGAGTGGCTGGATTTGGGTGTCACTTGTGCAAACACAGCTGAGTGTGGGCTTCTTGTCAAATTCTTCAGGCAACTGATGGGTTCCAGCAAAACTGCTTTTCTGATGAAGTTAAGTAATTATAAAAGTGCTTTGTTGAGTTGGTGCTAAGTGTACAGAAATCTGATTGCCCTTTAAGCATGGCATTATTTCTTACAAGAGGACGTTTCCCTGGAAATGTTATTTTTTTTCAGAAGTCATGAGTTTTATGGGCAAAAAGAGAGTATCCATGTGAAGCACTGTAGTAAAACATGTTGTGTTTTGGAGATTACAGAGTATCCATGTTGCTGCATCTGCTGGAATGCACAGTGGATGCCCCTTGCAATGGGAGGTGCTTTCCCTGAAACTTCAGTTGCTTTTTTCACCCCTAATACCTCCAGGAAAAAAAATCTCCAAAGCCAGGACAATTTGTATCTGGGACCAAACAGCCTGTTGTGCTTTATCCAAGTTAAAATTCAAAGAGAAACTGTGGAGGACTTAAGAGCCTGAGGTAATTTGATCATATTCAAAGAGCCAGAGCAGGTTGCTCCTCCATGAAGCAGAGTGGAAAATGTGCTCATGAGACTTGGACCATGAATGAAGAGTCAGTGCACATCAAGAAGTCCAGCTCTGCTCTCATGTGAGCTTGAAAGCTCAGTGAGTGCAGCTGCCTTGGGGCTCTCTGCTTCCCTTTGTGGATCAGCGCTCCAACAGCACTGCACTCTCATTCCATCCCAAAGGAAAGTTTGGGATCCTGGCAGGTGGGGCCATCACTAATACCAGTGTGAGGATTTGACAAGGGACTATCCTCAGTAGTGGTTGTTTCAGAGAAATCACAGAATTCCAGAATGGGATTGGAAGGGGCCTTAAAGCTCATCCCATTCCACCACCCTGCCATGGGCAGGACACCTTCCACTATCCCAGGGTGCTCCAAGCCCTGTCCAGCCTGGCCTTGGACAATTTCAGGGATTCAGGGGCAGCCACAACTGCTCTGGGCCTCCCCACCTTCACAGAATAATTTCTTCCTAATGTAAAATCTAAACCTACTCTCTTTCAGTTTAAAGTCTCTCCCTCTTATCATTACAATCCCTGGAAAAGGCTGAGCTTCAGGACTTCCTGAAGACAGCAGGAAGAATTCTGAGCTTCTTGTTGAGACACATCTCAGAAAAGACCAAAGGGACCTCAAAATAATGATCCTCTGCAGGCTGGTTTTGAGGTGTTTGCAGGGATGCTGTCCTGGTCAGCTCTTTGTGTGTTCCTTCCAGTCCCCAATAGCAATGCAGAAAAGGCAGCAGGATCTATGCAGAAAGTGTCTCTGGACTGGAAACCCATCCCTGTGCAAGTGTCACAAACACATTCCCAGCTGGAGGGTGCTCCAAGCTCATCCTGCCTGGGGGCTCCCAGCGGGGTCAGGCAGAGGGGCAGCTTGCTACCACCAGGCACGGTGCTCACCCAGACCAGGGGCAGAGGAAACAGGGCTCCCTGTGCCTACCACAGCCTCCTGAGCCCCCAAACCTGCTCTTCCGGAGGGACCTCATTAAGGCTGAGGTGCTTCTCTGGATCCAAAAGCAAAAGGGTAATGGGGGTGCCAGGGTCACCACCTGCTGTTTTTCTCTTGTCTCAGGTGAACACAACCCATCAGAGATGGGCCTGCACTCCTGAAAGGGGTCACAACCCTTTTTGCCATTCCTGCACACTCTCGTCCTCTGAATTATTGTCTGATTTTCATTCCACTCCAGTGAGCTGTCAGGCATGGGTCTGGTAATGCAGGGCAGCAGAAACACAAACAGATGGGTAATTGACCCGCGTGCCTTCATTACCCCGCAGCTCAGCGCTGCCATCAACTCCCCGCGCTGCCACTCCAGCCCTGGCCTTTTCCAAGGGGGGTCCCCTGAAAGGCTTGGAGTTATTGTCCCCTGCCTCGTGCTCCACAGACACTGACAGGGGCTGACAGGCAGCACTGGCCAGGTAGAAGCAAACAGCTGTGAATCCTCAGGGAGATCCGCAGGGAGTCTGGAGGAGGACGGGATGGAAAACCATGTACACCGTGCACGGGGCAAACACTAAAACTGTTATTGCATCCTCTGGTACCTGAGCAAGGGGGCACTTACACTGATGCCTGCACAGATGGATGCATACACAAACACTTGCCATGCAGAAAGGGACAAGGGGATAGATCTCCCTGCTAATGTAAGTCTGCCAAGCAACACTGAAATCATCGCCACTAAATCCATTTGCACTTTTATAGGATTTGGCAAGTAGCCTTTCTAGCAGGGAGCAAGCTGTGAAGGCTCAGGTGCCCAACTCCTGTATTTATGCTGTGGGAGCTGGGCACTTAACTCTGCAAGGGACTTTTATAAATCCCCTCTCGTGTTATTTTCCCTTCTTCTGTTTTCCGTTCCTTTTTATTTTCCCTTTCACTATGTAGTTCCCTTTTTTCTGTGGAACCAAACCCATTTAGTATCTCTCAATACAGGTCAGGACAGCAGAATGCTCATTGCTTCAGAACTAGCACTTGGTTTCAGGAGACAAAAAACACCACACCTGGTAATAAGGGAGGCTTTGCATTCAGGGTCTTGTACTGTGCTGGGGTCTGAGAGTGGGGTGAAAGGGTTTTGGGGAAGGGGAAGTTTCTTGTTACCCTTCTCCTGCATAGGAGATGGGCTCTCTTCTCAGCTAAATCACTACTTGCCCTGGAGGAATGCAATTTGTACCTTCTTTATTCATGACGACTTTTAATTCTTCACTATAACTCTCTCAAGCTGTTAATGAAATGGCTTTTGAAAAGAGGAAAAAATACCTGAAATTACTTTTTTATTTACTTTTTTTTAAATTTTTTTCATCCATAATCCTGTTGCTCTCTCTTCAGGTCTCCAGATCATCTTCCCTCAGTATTTACAAGAGAAGTTTGTCCAGTCTGCCTTGAGTTACATCATGTGCAATGGGGAGGGCGAGTACATCTGCAGGGACAGCCAGTGCGGCTGCCAGTGCTCCGAGGAGTTCCCGCAGTGCAACTGCCCCATCACCGACATCCAGATCATGGAGTACACCCTGGCAAACATGGCCAAGACCTGGACAGAAGCCTATAAAGATCTGGAGAATTCAGGTAATTGAGAAAAACTCGCTTTTTCAATTTGTGGCAGGTCGTATCAGGTAAAAATCTTTTATTCCCTCAGTATAATGCTTTAGTTTGGCCAAAAATTAGAGGATATTGAACCCAAACCCAGGGTCTTAATCTTGAGGGAATACCCTTTTTTCCTCTATTAAACACACAGACAGGAACACACACCACACATGGAATTATGTGTACAGGGATATTTTCCATGCAAGTACATGTTTGGTTAAAAAGTCTGATTTTTCATATCAAACATCTCCAAATCTCTCTTTTAATAGTTCTATGGATAAACTTCCACAATGTGAATGATGCAGAAACTGCTTTTCAGATTTGCATGAATGCTTTACTTTGCTTTGGTGAAAGCAATTCAGAGGGAAAAGTGCACACAGGGCAGATGACACCTCCTTTGAGGCAGGGAGGAGAAGGGAAAATGACTCCTCTGTCCTGCAGGGCAATGTCTGCTGCTGGTTCCACTTTCTCCCCAGGTGAGGCTGGGGGTGTCAGCAGAGTTTGTTCTGTGTTGGTGATGGTAGTGGGAGTAGTTTACCCGTAGTAGGTGTGTTGTACTCACAGGATACACACTCCTGAGGGCTTGAGGTAGGAAAGAGCAACACTTTCAGTGAACTGTCTCCTTCAGCAAGTGGCCTGGTTGCCCTGAAACCACACAGGCACCAAGCAAAACTTCATCAGGAGCTTATCCTTGTGCTGACTCTCATCTTTCAGTCTTAAGCAGCCACTTTCCAACATATTTTCTTCAGTGATTATTGCCACAACTGCCCAGATCTCCATTTCAGGAAGAAAACTGTGGGAAAAGGACCATCTACCTCAATTCAAGACAAATCCTTCTTAAGTTTTATTTCTTTCTTCATGTTAAAAGTCACCTTAATCCCTTTAAAGGCTGAAATGCAGTAGACTGTGATGTTTCCTCAAAGGGCTGTTGAGGATTTGCTTCATACTTCAACACGTGGCCCCTGCTGGTGTTTGTGCTGCTGCACAGATCCTTATGTCCCACTCATGCTGTCACCCTGGTGCTCCAGCAGCCAGGGTGGGAGTTAATGGCCCGAGGCTAATGACCACCCTGACCAGATCCTCCCAGGTACCCTGGGCAGCCACAGGGCTGGGCAGTTCCAGGAGCAGGTCACCAGCTAGAGAGCTCAGATGTTTTCTCTGAATTTCTATGGATTCATGGATGGGTGAGTTACACCAGGGCAAACCAGAAATGTGGATTTCAGGAGCTTTTGCCAGCTCAGTATACACAAGTTTACAAGGATTGCTGGCAGTGCCTGCCAGCACAGCTCTGCCACTGGTTATGTGTTAGCAGTTGTTAGTTCTGGCACAGCATCTTCACACAAGGTGCTCAAGAGCCACAGGCTGGTCTCATCAAACCCCTTCCCATCCCAGGGGATCTGACCCAGCACTGAGAAGGTGAGAGCCCTGTGGAGAGGGGAGTTCCAGTCCCACACTCTGTCCTTGCTGCACTCGATCCAAGCACAGGCCAGGGTAGATAATTTTATTCAGGCTCCCTCCCCTTGAGATTTGAATGAGGGAAGGTGTTTTTCATTTGCCATGTTAAAGTGACATATTGCAGTGCAATTTCTGCCATATTCCACCCAGGGCTGGAGGCTTTTCAGGGCTAGATGGAGTGATTATCTTTATGTCTAAAGCTGCTGCATCTGATTCATCACTTTGATGCATCATGCGTGAACTTATCCTTTGAGATAGAAGTTGCTATCACAAAAGACTGCAGTATTAGTGTTTTGCTTCTTTGTTTTAATAAATATTCCCAATAACTAGAGGATTTTCTTCATTATGAGCAGCAGAGGAGAAATCTCTGATGACATCTGAAGGCTTTTCCAATAAAGTGGACTGAAAGGCACAGGAGTGCTCTGAAAGCAAATACCATTTTGCACAGGAAGCCACTGAAAGCCCAAAACATTTGTATTCTGCTTCTGGTCTGTGTTGGATCCTCTGTTAATTTGAAAAAATTGTGCAGGGTGAATCAAGAGTTGCTGTGATTTGGAATAGTATCTTCAAAGTCAAGGAGGCTGCAGTGAACTGAAGCTGCTTTGAATCAGCTCAGGAGATTTTTTAGCCCTATGCTTCACTGCTTGTGGGTAAATTGAGAAAAATAACACTGCTGTATTCTCGGCATTTTAGAATGACTGGTCAAAAAATTCAGTGATTGTGGATTATAAACAATGCCAACCTTTAATTAAGTCATTTGGTGGAGTTAATCTGTTTGTTTATTCAAGACCATTGCTTTCTGATGTAAATGGGATTTTTTATTTTTTTTAACACTGGCAAAAGGAAAATTTCATCTGTGAAAGAGATGTCTGACCTGTCAATTCCCCGTGGTGCCACCTTCTGCTGAGTCACTGCCTTAGGTATGGGGTGACTCAGCAGAAAGAGGGGCCAAGCTGCATCATGGGAGGTGTAGTTCCAGCCATCAGCAAGGTTTGCTGTGCAGAGGAATAAAATAACCACAAATGCAAACAGACTTGTTAATTAATTGCAAATTCTCAGGGTTAAGAATGAACTATTCCCAGAAACAGGGAATATCCCCATCCACACCACTGGTTTCCAGGCAGAGTTATAAATAAATATAAATAATGAAGAAACTGCGTTGGTTTTAAAGTACTTTTCTTTTTCTTCATCACCCTAATTTTAAGCAATCCCATCCAGCTTTTGTTTTGCCAGATTTGCTGCTCATTTGTTTTTCCCCCAACGTTGCACTGCGGTAGCAAAATGTGCACACTGCACCGAAATTCCTGCCTCGCCCGTCTCGATGAAAAATGTACCACATTCATCATCACAGGGAAAAGAGCCTGGGCTCCTGCACAAAAAGGCTTTTGAGGAAATTGATTTATAAGGGGCGGGAAGCAAATGCAAGGCTTTTACTGCTGAAAGGTACCCGGAGTAATCAGCATGGTCAACAGAAGCAATTATACCTGATGGTGGTTTCAGAGGCCCACGGAAAAGAACAGAGTCAGGTTTGGGGAGGAGAAGGGCACTGGCAGCAGCATTAAAAACAGAGTGAAAACCTGAGAGATGACTAAAAAAAAAAAATCTCTTGGTTATCTTTGGGGGAGAAAGGAGACAAGCAGATGTCCCACGGATGTTGGTAGTGCAGAGATGATGATTATTTTGATGAGGAGCTCGGTTACACCATGTGATGAGTAGGATGTGAACATCCACTTACCATCCATGTCAGGATGGGACTGACTAATGTACAGATATCCTTTGTTAGGCAGTGAGCATGAACTGCAAGTTGATGAATAATAGGAAATCTCTTATGCAAATATCTTTAACTTTGTACTATAGGATTTAAATTATCTGATTTTTTCCATTAATTCTATGGATTATTTCTTTTTTTATTTGAAAAGATGTCAGCCTTTACAAGCTCTTCATTTCCTTCTGAAAATAGGATGAAGGAATTAAAAAAGAAAAAAAAAAGATTGGGAAAGGATCAGAAATAATGTAGACAATGTGGAGGAAAAGATGGCTATACGTCTTGTTGGCTTGTTTGGGAAGTTTATGGCAGGGTCCTAGTCCAGCTTCCCTCTAGAAGCAGGACCACAGCCAGCACTAGGTCAGGTCAGCCTTGGTTTTGTCTAGCAGAGTCTAAAATGAGAGATTTTTATACATCTCTGATCATGTTCCAGCACTGCATTACCTCCAAGTGACGGAGTTTTGCAATAAATCATTTTAATTTCTCAAGCTGCAAACTGCGTATTGCTCCTTGTTATGGAAACTGTCTCTCAAAAGAGGAGTTTTGCTCATATCTGTGAATACCTTTTGCTGTAATTAAATATCCCTTGGCCTCCTCTTTACCAAATGACACCAGTGCAGCTCCCCACCCCTGACTTTGCAGAACTTGTGCTCAGAGCACCTGGGTGTCCCTCAGCTCTGCCCTCCCAGTCTCTGTTCATCCCTTTTAGGTGGGTTCCCCAGGCGTAGCAGTGCCAAGAAAAGGTGAATATCAACTTCCCCAACCAGGATTCAGCCCAGTATGAAGTTTTTTTTCCAGTGAGAACAGGATGTTGACCCACCTCAGCCCCCAGGACCTTCCTCCACTGATTGTGCCCAAGCCTGTGCTGACACCTGAGGTTTTTCTCTCCTGGTACAAAACATTGCTCTTGTCGTTATTGCATTTGATGGAGTTCTTATTGTCCCACTCATTGCATTTCTCAAGGTCTCACTGTGTCAAATATGGTTTTCTAGCATCAAAAATTGAGTTATTTTCCCCTGAGAAAGTTGGAACCATCTGGTTTTTCCTCATCTGAGGATATCCCAGCCTGGTAATCAGAGTCTGAGCAAACCACCCTTCTCAGGTAGGAAGGAGGGGCTGACCAGAAACAGTATCAGAATTTCTGATTGTGATGAAAAAAAAAAAAACCCTCAAACAAACCCTGCATAACGGTGGGTTTTTTTCATTATCAAACAAAATAAAATGGAAATAAAGTGATCAAAAAACAACAAACACAAGAAACAGCAACACTGAACAATATATTTTTCGATCAATTGGATTTGTTCCCTTTGGCTAAAATTGACACCTTTTGTTCTCACCCGAGCCCTGCAAACTATTTTATTTTATTTTCCTCATTACAAAATGCAACTCATTTGACTTCAAATGGAGTTAAATGAGAGATAAGAATCAGAATGCTCTTTTTAAAAAATGCAAAAGCAGGACATTTTTACAGCATCCAAACCTTTCCTCTGGGGAATTTTTAAAGCTTTGTTTTCCCCCTTTTTTTTTTAATTCCACAGCAAAATGCTTTGCCTTCAACAACAAACAGCATTTCAGGACCAGCTGAAAAAAACTGCAAATGAGAACTCTTTAACTGAAAATGATTGCAACTCCCAGCTTTTTGTTTATAACCCTTAGACTATCACCTCATGTTCCAGGAAATTTCTGTGTTGTTTTTTTTTTTTTTTTTTTTTTTTTCTCTCCACCATGCACATTTTAATTGTGTTGTTTCACCTTGATATTCACCATAGGGTTGTTTTTTTTTTTTTTTTTTTTCCTATTTGGGAGCAGCAACAGCCATGGAATTAGTGGCTTCCAGGGGCAGAGTGACAGAGCAGTGAGTTAATGGACATCACCTTCCCCTGGCAGAGCTGATGGCCTCGTCATCTCTGCTCTTTCTCCACCCTGCTAATAAAACCTTTGTCACAACTCAGAAACCTCCGTATTTCTCCCCATTTTTTGGTGTGTGTTCCAGATGAGTTTAAATCCTTCATGAAAAGGCTACCTAGCAACCACTTCCTGACCATTGGGAGCATCCACCAGCACTGGGGGAACGACTGGGACCTGCAGAACCGCTACAAGCTGCTGCAGAGCTCGCTGGAAGCCCAGCGCCAGAAGATCCAGCGCACCGCCCGCAAACTCTTTGGCCTCAGTGTCCGGTGTCGGCACAATCCTAACCACCAGCTGCCTAGGGAAAGGTACCTCCATCCTTCCTCAGGCGTGGGGGAGCTGGGCTGAGGGGCTGGTGGAGCTGAGCTTGAGCGTGGGACTACTCCCAACAGGAGTGTTTGGATGTAGGGGGTGTTTGCGTGGATGCTTGGGGGAAAGGATAAAATCTGAGTGGGTTGAAATTCCTGGAGGTGTAGGTAACTTTTTTCACATTCCTGACTACATTCATATCCCTTCTGTGTGGTTTTACCTACCCAGAGGAAAGGGCATAACTTATTCTTTAAGTTCTGCAAGAATATGTTTAGTCTGTTCTGCAGACTAAGCTGCTTTTTTGTGGATTTCCCTCAAGATCCACAGCTGAGCTTTCAGCCTCTGCTTGCAGTTAAAAGAGACATGTGGAGCACAAGGTGCTTCAGCCCATTTTTGCATTGTGCTCCTCAATATCTCTAGAGTAAAAGGAGAAGCTTTAGTTTCACTTGGAATATATTACATTTTTGCTGGGAGATGCAGCGTGAACCTGTAAAACCTCACTGAGCAGAAGCCTTGCAAGGTTATTACAGGTGGAGAGAGCAGATTTTCCATTACAGCAATTATTGATATCTAATAATCCCCTCCTGCTGGCTCCTTTCAGCCCTAACCCATAGCTGAGTTGCTTCAAGTCATTTTTAGAGACTTACATTTTTGGATATTCATAAACATCTCTTGCTGTGTCTTTCTACATTGTCTGGACTGAAGCAATATGGAAAATGTTGGGGGAAAAAAATTAGTCTGAGTGCCTTTTCTTCCATGCTTCTCTTGGAAAGGTCAGGCCAAGGTAATATTTGAAGAGAAACTGTTTGTCCACTTCCTTCATTACCTAAATATTCTGTTTCAAGACAAAATTGACAGACTGACTGGTGTCTACACCTCTCATCCAGCTCCCTGGCTGCTGAACACGCTGACTTTTAATTTCATCACTGTGCAGCTCAGAAAACCCTTCCAGGGCTTAACACCTCTTTAATTACCAAGAAATCTCATGTTTCTAGACAAAAATTTGATGGACTTACTAGGGATGAGAAGAAATATCTATTAAATGTAAGAGATTATGAAATAAAGTATTTGGAGAGCTTCCTAAACCTGGCCCATCCCTGCCAAGTGGCTGAGCTGTTCTGACCAGGCTGAGTGCTGGAGGAGCCACAGGCATGTCCAAGGTGGAATCTTTAGTTGTTTTTGAATTTTTAACAACAACAACAACAACAAAGTGAAGCAGCAGTGAGGAAATCTCCATCCAACCATGTTACTCCAAAAGATTCAGACAAATATGTCTTCAGCATTTATCATCTATTTTAAAAACCCAGCCAAGCAGAAAGGGAGCCTCCAACTACTACAATGAAATGTGGGGGAAGGAGGGTGGAATGGATGATGGCAGATGGGTTTTTAACTGACTGATGTGCTTGATTTGTTTAAGTCAACATCAGCAGGCATATTATAATTTCTTTTCTTGTTTGTCATTCTGCATCTGCAGCTAGGCAGGGGAGCAGTGTGGTGGGAGCTGTGTAGTGGAAGAGGTGCAGCCCATCATTCTCCTCACAGAGCTGGGAAATACTCTCATTTTCTAATTGTTGCTGTACAGAATGACAGAGGCTTATCAAGAATGCCAATGGCTTTGAAAGGATGGCATGGTTCTATTAAGAGCAAGCCTCTCTCTCTTTAATACACATAATTGTAAGCCTGCATTATACATTCAAAGGCAATGTAAAAAAAAAAAAAAAAAGAGATTGCAGTTGATTGTCCTCAGGGAAAGGAATAGCTGGTGTTTCCAAAAGGAAGATAAGAAAGGAAGAGTATGGATTCTGGCAATTAGGCTGATTCTCCATGACCCTTTGCAATGGCTAAGGAGACAGAAATATCTATATCTATACATCTATATATCTGTATATCTATATATCTATATATCTATATATCTATATATCTATATATCTATATATCTATATATCTATATATCATCTATATTTTATCTATAGAAATATAGATAAATATCTAGATATATCAATATATAAATATATAGGTATAGATATATAGATACTGATATATTTGTTCTGTACTTCTTTTGTCAAAATCCAGGAAAGTTTACAGGCTTAAAACAGAGGCAAGTCTGCTGGTTTAAAAAGGAGACCACTCCTCAGTTAATAAAACTTTGATGTCGAATGATCACCTGTGGTTTTATTTTAAAGCACTGGATGTAAAATAGAAATAACATCCAATGGAGAGAGGGGTTATACATGTTCTGGCTTGCAGCCAAAATACATCTCACAGCTGCTGAGGAAAAAAATAGCATTTTTACTGCACTGTTCCATACAGAAAACCCAACAGTACCCCCAGAGCAGCTAGTGCTGGTTGGAAAGTGAAAAGTGAATTTACAAAGGAAATTATTTAAGTCCCTGTCTTTTTTCCTGCAAATAAAAACCAAAAATCTGTCTGGCTCCCTGTTCCCAGCATTGACACATGTCCAGTGAGCAACAGTCAGAAAACACTGCAAAGTAATTCTCACTCAGAGCTTGGCCTGCAGGTCATATTTATTTTCACTTTAGAATAATGGAATTATTGAGGTTGGCCAAGACCTCCAAGCTCAGTGAGTCCAACCTGGGCTTGATCCCCATCTTGTCGCCCCAACCAGAGCAGTGAGTGCCACATCCAGGCATTCCTTGGACATCTCCAGGGGTGGGGATTCCCACCACCTCCCTGGGAATATTTTAAATGAAGATCAATGGCTACTCTGGCACAGGTTTCCAGCTGTTCAACAGTGGATCTTTCCAGCATCCTCCTGCTCTGACACCTCTTAGGTACAAAGCCATGACAGGGGTGTGTTTTAAAAAGTTACCTCCTGTCAGCTCAGGGGCTTTGGCTGGTCCTGGGTATATTCTTAACCTGTCCCAGTTGCAAGAAAAAATGGGGTAATTTATAACACTTCACTTCTCTCTCACACTTCCCATTGTCGTATTTGTAGCTGATGCTCAGCACTGCCCTGGATTCTGCATTTTTATTTAATTACATCCTTTATTGCTGCCATCAGCAGATGGTGGGTAGTCTCCTGTTTCATTTTCTTGGTTTTTTTAATCCTACTTGTGTCTTTGCTGAAAGCTAAGACACACGCACACACACACAAACAAACAACCTCCCATCCATCCTCCACAAAGTTCATCCGGGGAACAGGAAATTTACTGGTGTCCATTGCAAGATATCATCTGAGGTTTCTTTCCCATTTTGCTCTGCTGTATAAAGAAGGACAGAACTATCCAGTAATTTTTTTTTAAGACAGAACACACCCAAAATGGACAGAATGTGATCACCTGACTCTAATTTATTCCGTTCCTATGGTGGTCCTTGGTCCAGCAACTCAGGGCATTATCAACACTTAAAACCTGTGTAAAACATCAGTCCAGCACTGCACAAATCCAAGTGCATTTGACTGGCTTTCCAAACAGGAGGCACAAAGATTCATATGGGTGAAAATATATTTGTATTGCTGAAAAGTGAGCAAAAATTCACCTGTGAGCATCTCCCTGGGATGGTTTGGAAATGCTTGTTGCTGTCAGCTTGTGGCTGTGTTTTACAGCCACACTGCACTGTGCTGTCCCCTCCCCCCCCGAGGCAGAGCTGTCCCAGGAATTAAGAGGAGCCCTGTGCACTTTGTGAGGGACCAGGGCTGTCACTGTGTCCCTCTACAGCAGATGTTTATGGAGGTCACTGCCTTGCTCCCAAGCTCCTCAGCCAACCTTGTTCTTTCTGCCAGCAGAAGAGCTCCTCTTGGCTGGGAATAGGGGGAAAAGACCCTGGGAGCCCTGTACCACAGGAAGAATGTGAAAATTGTCTGTTCACATGTCCAACAATTGAGAATTTTTCTTCTAATGCCCTTCCTTTTTTCTTTGCCCTGTTTTTCCCTTCTTTTTACTTCTTTTCTTCCTGCTTTTCATTTCTGCCTGTTCTCTTTCAGTGGTTGCTGTTGCAGTTTTTCCCTTTCTCCACCCATTACTCCTGCCCACCATGTTTCTCTCTCATTTTTCATTTTACCTGCACATTTTCCTCTCTTTCTTTCCCAACCTTTCTGCTTCTGCTCCTTGATTATTTCTTTCCTTCCAGTGCTTTCCTCTGTTTTACACTCTCATCGCTCCACTCCCTCCCTCCCCCTAATCATCTTGCTGTTCTTTGCTGCTGTATCATTTAATGCCTTCTTTGATACAGCCTACAGCTTAATGATTATTCGGAGGTCAGGCGATGCAGGTGCCATGAATTTCACTAATCCAGCTCTGAGAGCCTCTGTCCATAATCACTCCTCCTGTTCTACAGGGGCTGAATCCTAATTTGTCATTAGCCAGTCCTCTCACTGCAGCACTACCAAGAACTTTTTGCCCAGAGGAGACAATGAAGTATTCATTAGCCAGGGGGGAGGTGGAGGGGAGGGAGCAGCGGCTGCACACAGGGTTCTGCTGAAGGCTGCTGAGAAAGGAGTTGCTGTACCCAGCTTTCCTGGGGCAGTGGGAAGGGGGGAAAGGGGGAAACAAGGCAACATGGCAAGTGGGTTGTGCAAAAAGTGAATGTGGGTTGCGGTGTCATTTTCTAGGAGTCGTTCCAGGGCTGCAGGATGTGGGGTTGAAAGTGCTGATCCAGTAGCTGTGGGAGTGGTGGGGCTCAGGGGTGGGTGAGTGGGGCTGATTTTAAGGGAGTGACTTCAAGAGGTGATTAATTAGCAGAAGACTTTTGGGGATTTTAAGGAGGAATAGTTTTAGCAGCTTTGTCTCTGTGCATCCTGGCTTCCACCCTCTTTTCTACTCTTCTGAGCTCTGCACCATAAGCAGAGGTTGCTTTGCCTTGTCCTGTTAGGGGTCTGTTTTTTAGAGGGTGGGGCCAATTGCCAATGACCTGAAGAGCAGTTTTCTCCTGCTAGCCTGGGAGTTCTGCTGCCCTTGTGATGTCCTGATAGCCCCCTCTGGCATGGCTTTATCAGCTCCATTCCCATGTCACTGTGGCCCTGCTGGGATCCTTGGCAGGACACAGTGCCTCTCTTGGCTCCTAGTGCAGAGTGAAGAGAGAGAGCTCAGGTGAGCATTTCTACCTGGTAGCAATTTCTTGGAAGGATTTTGCTCATCACCAAAGGAGTAAACAGCAGATGAAAGATTCAGTCTAGAAATAGACTGGAATAGCTCCCAGAAGCCACGGCAGGGCATTGATGTTCTGAGAGCTCTGCCCTGAAAACACTGTAGCTCCAGCAAGATGCCAACACCAAGTTCCTGTGAGGCCTTACAGTGCTAATTCTTCCTTCTCCTCACCTGCAGGACGATACAGGAATGGCTTACCCGAGTCCAGTCCCTGCTCTACTGCAATGAGAACGGGTTCTGGGGGACGTTTCTGGAAAGCCAACGGAGCTGTGTTTGCCACGGTGGCACCAGTCTGTGCCAGCGCCCCATCCCCTGCATCATTGGGGGCAACAACAGCTGTGCCATGTGCAGCCTTGCCAACATCTCCCTCTGCGGCTCGTGCAACAAGGGCTACAAGCTTTACCGAGGCCGCTGCGAGCCCCAGAACGTGGACTCGGAGCGGAGCGAGCAGTTCATCAGCTTTGAGACGGACTTGGACTTCCAGGACCTGGAGCTGAAGTACCTGCTGCAGAAGATGGACTCCCGCCTGTACGTGCACACCACTTTCATCAGCAACGAGATCCGCCTGGACACCTTCTTCGACCCGCGGTGGCGCAAGCGCATGTCCCTCACCTTGAAGAGCAACAAGAACCGGATGGACTTCATCCACATGGTGATTGGGATCTCCATGCGCATCTGCCAGATGCGCAACAGCAGCCTGGACCCCATGTTCTTTGTCTACGTCAACCCGTTCAGCGGGAGCCACTCGGAGGGCTGGAACATGCCTTTCGGGGAGTACGGCTACCCGCGCTGGGAGAAAATCCGCCTCCAAAACAGCCAGTGCTACAACTGGACCCTGCTGCTGGGCAACCGGTGGAAAACCTTTTTTGAGACCGTCCACATCTACCTACGCAGCCGGACTCGGCTGCCCTCCCTCCTGCGCAACGAGACTGGCCAAGGGCCCGTGGACCTTTCCGACCCCACCAAGCGCCAGTTCTACATCAAGATCTCAGACGTGCAGGTCTACGGCTACAGCCTGCGCTTCAACGCGGACCTCCTGCGCAGCGCGGTGCAGCAGGTCAACCAGTCCTACACGCAGGGCGGGCAGTTCTACTCCTCCTCCTCCGTCATGCTCTTGCTGCTGGATATTCGGGACCGAATCAACCGCCTGGCGCCTCCTGTGGCCCCGGGGAAGCCCCAGCTGGATCTGTTCTCTTGTATGCTCAAGCACCGCCTGAAGCTCACCAACAGCGAGATCATCCGAGTGAACCACGCCCTGGACCTGTACAACACCGAGATCCTCAAACAGTCCGACCAGATGACAGCCAAACTCTGCTAACCCTGGACTTAGCAATGGACACTTTGGTGATTGATCCTTTTGCTGTATAAAAAAAGAGAAAAATAAAACAAACAAAAAAAAACTCAAAAAAAAGAAAAAAAAAAAGAAAAAAGAGAAAGAGGAAAAAAAGTAAAAAGGAAGAAGTAAAAGTGGGGGGAAAGAAAAGGGGAAAAATAAGATTTGTAAAATGTAATTAATATACAAAAGAGGAAAAAAAAGAGGAAATTCTTCATTTGTTGAAAACTAAACCCGTTCTAGCAGCTGTATAAGACTGTCAGGCATGTTTGTTATTTCTATAATCCGTCATAAAAGGGTAACACCGTACTCTCTCTTGACCTTGGGGGTGTTGCTTGTGAGTCCTCAGGGGCAGCAGAGGAAATAAAGGGAGGAGCAGAGAGAGGGGCAAACTTCTGTACTGAACTGTCAAGTTTTCTGCTATGCAGGTGCCAAGACAAAGAGACATACAAAAAAAAAAAAATCTAAGGAAACAAGCAAACAAACAAGAGTTATATGTAAATGTAAAAGAGCTACCATTATTCCTATAGTGGGAGTAAATGGTTAAAGATAAAAGATATTTCTTCTGTTGAGATTTATGCCAGCTTTATGTTGAGTTATTCCCGCAGCCTGTGCTGAGCTTTGCTGGAGGACAGGAGGGGATGGCAGCCCTTGGGGAGTCAAACTGATCCCTCCTTGGTGAGACCACACAGAAAAGGTAGAGGGTGGGTGCAGGGCTCAGGTGTCCTCACTTTGGGATTTCCATCTTGGAAGACATTTCATCAGAGGTAGAGGCTCAGCAGATGCTGGAAAATGGGATGTGTTGGGTTGTTTAGCTAGACCTGCAGTTTGTGCCCCACACTGGGCTGGTGCTGCCTTCAGTGGTGCCAGAGAAGGAGCAGCACCTGTAAATCTTCACTCACTCATCTTTCAGGCCCTTCTACATATTCCTAAAGCAGAGAAAGCCAAAATCACAAAGGCAAAGCTGAGTTTGTCTTTCTGCCTCAGGTGCTGGGTTTTCCAGTAGCACTGGGTAACCCTCATCACCACAAAAACTAAAGCACAATGCAAGGGAATACATTTCCAAGGAAACCTGGAGACACTGAAGGGTACATAGGTCATTTTTGTTCACTGGGAAAAGAAAAAATCCTTTTTACTTTCTTATGTTTCTGTGGCTGTGAATAATATCCTTGTCTCACTTACACTTTGTCCACAAAAAAAAAAAAATACAGCAAATATATGAGAACATTTTATTAAAATATATGCAAAATTAGTAAAAGGGAGGGGTGGGAGGGAAGAGCACAACAACCAAACCTATCATGAATTTGCAAGGATAAAGCCAAATTAAAAAAATTGAGCTATCAAAAAAAAAAATACTAAAATAACCAAAAGGTGGGTAAAATTTTTTGAATGTGTGGGGACGTGTTTGGATTTAAACAAAAAGTAGGATGTTGAATGGAGCGTGTGAATGAAGGATCATCTGAGCTGGGTGATGAAGTCTCAACACTGTGGGAGGTGAGTAGTGAGGTGTTTCTCTTAATTTCACTGGTTTTTTTAGATGAAGTTGATTGAGAAGTGCTAGTGAGAGACTGGAATTCCTGCCCTCCAGAAAGGGAGAAATAAATCTCTGATCCTGATGGCTTCCAGAGGTGGAGGAGCATTCTGGGGAAAACAGGTCTGAGCACAGGGCACAGTACTGATCCAAAGACCAAGATTCAGGTCTGGCTCAAGACTTAACGTGTTGATTCAACTGAGTTCAAAATAGTCTTGTAGGAATTTTGACTTTACTTGAAGACTTTGGCTGAGATTTTGAGAGTAACATCAGTTCATGCATTGTAGTGTTGGTCATGTGACACCAGGGGCTTGGGCAATTAAGGCTGGTTTCATGTTTAATTTTTGTGATTTAGGTTGTTCTCATCCAAATTTCCTGTGAAGGAATTGGATACCTTAAGGAAAATATACATTCACTGAACTCTCCTGCTGAGCTACCAATTGAGGGCATAAGAAAAGCAATTTGGGTAATCAGTTAAACCCCAAAAAGGGGGATTAGTCACCAAAGTCTGTCTATCCAAGAATGGGTATCAGAAGAAGAGCTGGGTGAATTAAACAGCAAGGATGTTTTTAGGGATATTTCCTTTAGTAGTAGCTTTTTTTCCCTACCTTGTATCAAGATCTCTCTTTCACCTGGTCAGTCCACACAAGAGGCCTTGGGCTACCCATTTTTCCCACTGTTTGTTTTCCATTTGCTTGGTCTTTCCTTTGTGTAGCAGAAAATCATATTAGACCTTACTATTCCAAGAGTGTTCTTTATAGATGTGACATTTCTGCCTCAGCTTTCTGATAAGAGAACATTTGGCAGCAATCGTATGCATGGAGGTGAGTTTTAAGCAAATAGTAGAGAGTATTCATGGGAAATGAATGTCAAATTTGTAATTATCAGTAGAAATAATGTTCCTGACAGTTACATCCATCTAAGAAGGGAATAGAAATGTACTGTTTAAATTACATGTATGACCCAAAGAGCTGACACTTGAAAGAACTATGGTTATAGCTCTAAAAATACTGACTGCTGCCTGAGCTGCAGCCTGCATGCAATAATGGGATTTGCTCATGGCTGGGAATAGTGACCGTGCCAACACGGAGCGAAATTAATTCGATAAATTCTTTCCTTTGAGATAAGAATCCAGGTCTAGTGAGTAGAAGCCAAAGAAGCTGCAATTAAATCTCAGATCTCGTGGGTAACTAGCAGCACATTACCTAAATCTTGCCTGGTGTCTGTGGCACTGGTAGGGATCAAATCAATTGCCCTCATGTATCTTTAATGATGCCTTGGGATGAGCATGTACTGCCTTCAGCAGTGGGGGCAACTCCATAAACCTTAAGCAAGGTTTTGGGTGCCAACACAACATGAAATCCTGGCTGGATTTAAGACCAAGTGGATGGCATGGAGCTGAGAGAGGCATGTGAGGTGACATTCCCATGGCTGGGAAAGGGGAACAGTGTAGGGAGAGGGAAGAAGTTTTGGCACAGACATGCTGTCAGCATATGGAAGTGACCTTGGGAGTACCTGATGGTGCATCTGGAAATGATGGCACACCAACACCACAAAGTGGAGCCACGCTCCAACACGACTACATCAAATTTTGTGAAGCAACACAGCAAAAATGTCAGGAAGAAACTCCCATGTCCTTCAAAGTAGGGAAGATGAAGTTATTTGGCAGCTCTACCACCATTTTAGGCTCACTGAGAAAATGGAAAATAACCCAAACAAGCCAATCAAATGTGGATGATTGCTTTTGATGCTAAGAAATAAATTAAACAGGGCACATGCTCTGCTTCCACTGCCCAGTCCCAAAGGCCCTTCCCCAGGCAAGGGGTAGTCTGTGACAGCCAGATCCAGAAACATCCCCCAGGTTTGGTTTAGGGAATTTGTTCTGCAGGCAATAGGAGATGTGGAGGCATCTGGCATCTGTCTCAGCAAGAGAAAGCAGTTCAGACCCCCAGAGAGGCCATGCCAGTGCTTCAGTGGGGTTAATGGGCTCCTGAGGAAATGATGGTCATAAAATGTGTTTGGCAAGACAATGACTGGAATGGAGGGCAATTAACAGAGCAGAATTAGGTGGGACCCACAGAACCCCTTCACCATAAAGCTCGACCCCCTAACCTGCATGATCAGTGGGCACTGTTGTAGAGTTTAATGATAAAAGGGATGTTAAAACTCTCAAGTTAGAGTAACCATTCTCTGACTGTATGAGAACAAAACCCAGCTTCCTTCCTTGGCATGAGAAGGAGTTAGGGAGCAATCCATCAGATTGTCCAGCTCAGCTAATAGAGATGCTCCTACCAATTCAGGACAGATACTTGTCCCTTGCTGTCATTAAATTAGCCACTACATGAAAGCTTGGAGCTTCCAAATAACCCAGAGAAAAAAAAAGTCAATTCCAGGTGTCCCAAAGCCAAAGCATGGAAAAAGCAGCAGGTAGGGCAGAATCCTGCTTCCCTTCAGATGCAGAAGACTTTTGGGACCATTTTCCTCCAGTCACGTGACAGAAATTCCTTGGGAGCTTCCTAAGAAATCTGCTCTTTTAAAATTATTCAAATTTAGACTCACCAACCAGTGTAGCAGAAAGCAAAAGACGTCAGCAAGTCTTATTAACATGCTGATGCTATGGCTTCAGGAGTGTGCAGAATGTCCATTTGGATCAGGGCTAAGAGCACAGCATGGAGTTGCCATGGAAACGTGGGCAGGCCATTAATTAGCTATCACATGGAATCATCAGGAAGAATCTGGACCTCAGCAGCTTTGGCCTCCTCAGAGGCAAAGGGCACAGCCCCAGAGACCCCCCAGTCAGGCCCAGTGACCCCTGCACAGCTCCAGGAACAAGCACATGCTGGAGCAGAAATGTCCTCTTGAAGAGATGAGAAGTAGGTGCACAAGAAAGGGGAGGGGGCAACAAGCAGAGAAATAGATACAGCATGGTGATACATCCCCTTTTTGTTGCCCCTTCCCTTCCCAGGAAGCCTGGCTGCTCTTGCGTGGAAGAACACAAGAGATCTGCTGCTTTTTGAGCTGGCAAAGCTTATGCCAGAGACCTTGAAGACATCAAGAGCAGCCCCAAGGTCCTGTAAATCCAGTTATGGAGTTTGCATCTTCTTGGGTGGGCTTCACCTGGGATGAGGGAACTCCAATGCTCCCTAAAGCCATCCTGCTCCCTAAAGCCATCTCCTGCTAAACCAGGAATCCCTTTCCCCAAAGGGAAACATGGGCAAGTAAGAAAGACTTCTTGGCCACTTGCCCAGCCTCTCTTCAGAGCCAGAATCCTGTAAGCAAGCTGTGATGGACTTCAGCTGCCATGGATGGGATGTTCTTTTTAGCTCCTTAGCCCACTTGCTAAAACACGGCTCAGGAGGACATTTGGCAGATGGTGCCTCCTGCACAGGGGTGTAGCAAGATCCCCAGCCTGGCTGCTCAGTCCCAGTGCTGCAGGAGACACGCTGGGTGCCAGTCCCAGCTCTGTGCTCTGTCTCCTAAAGCACTCCCCTTGAGGAATTCACCCTCATTGAGAGGAGGAAATGGCACAAGGAGGAGGTGCTGCAAGTCTGAGAGCAGAGACACAGGAGGACGGTCTGTGGTATGTGTTTTGGGGAGAGGCTGAAGGGAGACATGGCAGACAAGGCATAAGGAGGTCATGGAGGAGGCATTTCCATGTTCCTTCTACCTTGAAAAATTTGAAATCATAGATTAACCCTGTTGGAGCCAGTCAGATTATAGACTTCTTGTCCAAGAACGCACATTTCAATCATCTCACCCTCACAATTTCTTTGCCTTA